GTAATATCCCTAGGCTCCATATTACCCTATACGGTATGTCCCCAGGTAGCCTTGATACATATCTGTAAGTTTCATAGGACCATGTCGCTCGACGCAGCCTTCACCAGTGTGGGGAGCTCGGCCACACCACCACAAGACCAATTAAGAGGTCTGCGAGACCAGGAGGTGCCTGGTACATGTGTTTCGCATGTCTTCTGAAAAGCTTCCTGGAGCTGTATGGGGGACTTAGTAGCACACTGTATGCTTTCAATCCCTGGGAGCTTTAAAATCACCGCAGTTATCCTAGCTTAGCCTACCGCTGCGTCTGCTAAGTCCTCTTGCCCCTCGAAGCAGGCGCCATTACTTGTTGTTTTTTCTCGGAAGGTGTCACGCCAAGCATTGGCCGCCTCTGCAAAGGCCCCAAGTAGCAGCGCCCGGGGACCCAGTGCTCTGGGCTTTCGGGCTTCTAGTTCAGGGTTGATGGCTTGTGATTTAGGAGCCCTGGTGTAGGTTCTTCTTAGACTCAGGACTGCTCTGGGTTTAGAACTAGATCATGATCATTGTAGCCCTCTTCTTTCCGTCGTTATGCCTCGTCTTCTTGTTAACTGTATGCTAGTCATGCCCAATCACCGACAAGGTACCTAAACCGCCGAAGGTTCCCTTGACTTCGATTGCTCGGCAGGGGCCAGGCTCTGCATGAAGAGGGCTCAAAGTAGCTAGTCCTGCCATTTGGGAGCTTTCGTACTGTCCCTTTACAATCAATCCCTCAGGGCACCCCGAAAATGTCCTAGACTCCGTGCAATGAAATTCTGGAGTCCCTAGGGCACCCCTGTTTTGAGAAGCCTCCATCTATCGTGCAGGTGCTCTGTTGAAAAATGCTTATTCGGAAGCCAGTAAGAATCGATGGTTGTCATTCTTTCCTGGGCTTTGTAGAATGAAAATTCCGAGAGCGTAACAATGACAAGGCCTTGCAGTGTCTCGGGCCTGACTACCATAGCAAAATGTTATCATGATGATCCTCCTCCTCCTCCTCCTCCTCCTATAACTATACCATCATCATCATCATCATAGGCCTAGAAACGAACCCAACAGATTGGAGATTCTGGAATTATCCCTGTATCATCCTTCACAAGGCACGCCCATATTGTATATGCTCAGAGTCCCAAAGGATTTTCCTTCTAGACATCCCCACCCTAAAGCCTAAACCCCCCTAAACCCCTCCAAACCCTAAACGCCCCTAAACCCTAAACCCCCCTAAGCCCTAAACCGGCCCAGAGGCCAGCGCAAGCCAGAAGCCGCTGGCCAGCTTGGACGGTTCTTCGAGCAGGCTGCAGGCCGCACGTTTAGGATTTGGGGGTTTGGGGTGCCATTGCTTTAGGATTTCAGTTTTGAGTTGAAGGGTTTATAGCGTTTAGGGTTTAGGTTGAAGGGGTGTAGGGTTGTGAATTTCGTTCCACGCCCTGTGCCTGCCATATCCATTCCGGACGAACTTCCATTTGTTAGCTCCGTGCGCATGCCATACTCACAAGCGTAGCTCCATTGAAAAATGCATCATTCCAGAGGGTCGGATTGCATGAATCTAGGATCCTATTTGTACACATGTATACATATTTAACTCATGGCGGGGGGCCCTAAAGGACCATTCTTTTTCAATCGCCCGGCCTGCCACAGGTGGTTCAGATTAGCTGTCATGGAGTTTCCCAAAATATGGGGACCCCAACATAGACCCCAAAATATTGTAATCCTTATTACTGGGACCCCCATAAAGGTAGCCCCTAAGTTTTGGGAAACCCTAAACCCTAAATAGTAGTTTCCATTTTTTTGCATTAGCCCTATATTACCCCTATATAGCTCTTTAAAAAGGTAGCCCTAATTTTGGGAAACCCCTAGATGGACTCTCTTGAAGATTTGTTTAGCTCAGAATGTTATGAGCTACCGGAATCCCCCAACCCTCAACCCTGAGGGGCAATCTGGGGGGGTTGTTTAAGGGTTATACAGGGGAAATACAGGGGTTATACAAGGGTTATATAGGGGTCATATAGGGTTGTACAGAGTTTCTATAGGGGAGTTATACAGGGGTTCTATAGGGATCATCATATAGGGCTTAGAGATGTCTTGCGGGAAGACTCTGCTAAGTGTCTGCTTCGTTGGAACCCTAACCCTTAAACCCTGAACCCAAAACCCTGAACCCTGAACCCTAATCCCTAGACTGTAAACCCTAAACCCTAAACCCAGGCCTTGGCAGCTCTTGCTGCAGGGGCCGCCACGTTCGCTGGAGGCCGCCAGAGGACGGGCAGCTTCCTACCTAAGAATGTTTTTTATACAGGGGAGCTTCCCAAAATGAAGGGTACCTTTGTGTGGGTCCCTATAATAAGGATTATGTCATATTGGGGTCTAGATTTTTTTTATACATACAGCCCCCCTTAAGCAGATAGAATATGGGGTATATGGGGAGTACCTCTACTCTACCCGAAGCCATATTCTATTTACTTGAGGGCGACTATATACATCTACAATCCCTATATAATCCCTATATCCTATATCATATAATCTTCATATAATCCCTAGAAAATCCCTGTATAATCGTTATATCCCATATCACATGGTCCTTATATAATCCCTGTATCATCCCTATATCCTATATCATATAATCCTTATATAACCACTATTTACGTCCTCGAGTTGAATTCCAGTGAATTTGCCATGCATCTTTCCGAATTGTGAGTCTTCAGACAGAGTTGGAGAGCCTGCGAATGCAGTGCTGACCATCTGAAAACAGTAGTTATAGCAATACTGATAATAAGAGCTACTACTATTACTACTGCTGCTGCTGCTGCTGCTGATGCTGCTGCTACTACTACTACTACTACTACTGTAGTAATAAGAAGTTGCGATAAGAAAAGGAATAGTCGTAGATATTTTTCAGGAGAGTCCGTCCGATTCCCCGCTCAAGCGTTGGAAGAAGGGCTTTTTTCGACGTGATAGGCTCAGTCACTGTGCTCAGGCATGCTCTGACTAAATGCGCGTTCCCAGCCTCAGCTGCAACATGCTGAGTTTGGTTCGCAGCCTTCCAAGAAGACCGTGATCATAACCGGTGCCTCCTCAGGCCTGCCTGTACGGACGTGCATAGCAGAGCAGCTATTACTACAGTTATTATTATTATTATCACTACTCGTATTTCTTTTAGTCCCATTAATATTCTTATTAGTAGTCTTAGAATGGTTCTTCTTTTTCTCTATTTCTATTACGTTTTTTTAATATGATTATTATTGTTAATATTACTAAAACTATTCTTCTTCTTTTTATTTCTATGACAGTTACAGCAAGCAAGCATCCCTCAGGGCTGGGGCTGGCCACAGCGAAAGAACTTGTCAAGAGCGGGGAGTGGCACCTCAGCTGAAATCTACTCAGTTTAGGGTTGTTTTAATTTGTTTTAAAACAATTTTAACAAATTGTTTTAAAACAAATTAAAACAAGCCTGCTCTTTGCGGAGAGACTTGTACATGAGGCGAGTTATCATGGCTTGTCGCGACTATGTCAAGGCCCGCAGTGCTTTGGCAAGCCATGTGTGAACTTGTCCACGACTGCCAGGCAGAGAACGTCGCCAAGGAGAATGACTTTCCGGAGGATACCTTTGTCGGCATGCTTTTCCGACATCACCCACGTGCGCCTACAACAGCGGAGCACCAATTGAACAGCATTCTATATGTGGATACTGCAGTAGTCTATCCTCACATTGGCCATTGTCGTAAGATGTCGTATCATCCCACCACGAACCCTCTGGATAAGGACCCAACAGAAGCAGAGACTCTGCACGGAGCAACCCGTAAAACTTGAGATGAGATGTGAGAGTTCTCCAGGACCCGAACCTAATGAGGGAACCCAGCAAGCCTTTTATAACCCCACGTAAACCCTGAATCCTATGCCTTAAACTCCAAACCCTAAACCCTATCCCTGGGTTCCTTAGACTAGGTTGGGAAAAGCGCGCGTTTTAACTTACAGTCGCGTAGAATTATGGAGAACATTCGTGTTTGATAACATAATCTATCTAGCCCTATGACTATCTGCGTTTTCAGAAACCCTCAATCCTACATAGTAGCTTCAGTTTTGCCATTCCGTAAGACTGCCATTCCGTAAAGACTCAAAGCCTAAATAGTAGCTCTATTCCTTAAGCGGAAGTGGAAGTGTCAATTTTCTTTGCCATTCCGTAAGCCCTAACTTGCCAGGACAGCTACATGGTACTCCACCTCGATCTGGCTGCGAACAACAGTGATTGCCTGGCATGCTTGTAATTGATAAGGCTATAGTCTAAACTGCTTAAGGGGGGTTATATAGGGGATTATATAGGGGACTTCCATAGGTCCGTTCCCTCAAGCCACGCCGCCGCTCCATAGGAAGGAAACCATCCGGGGTGTTTGTACATGTTTGTACTATTAGGGGGATTAGGGATTTATTGCAAAGAATTGGAGGGTCGCCACTCTGGCTTGCATTCTTCTACCGCTACTGCCACGGCCACGACGACGGCTACGACTGCTGCTCCTCTTCTGCTGCCGGCACTACTATTACGACTACGACGACGACGAGACTACTACTGCTACCATTACTACTACTACCACTACTACTACTACTACTACTACTACTGCTACCATTACTACTACTACTACTACTACTACTCCTGCTGCTACTACTGCTACTACGACAATGGTACTGTGACTGCGAGTGCTACTGTTACTGCTGCTGTTGGTTAGTGTTTGGAGCTTTGAGGTTTCTTTTGGCCTGGCACCTTTATTCCTCAAGAGGATGCTCCAAAGTTGTGATGACCGGGGGCTTGAGCAAGATGGAAGCTCCGGTAGATTGCTTTCATGATATTCTCCTTATATTGTGGCCCTGTTTGAAGTCAACAGTCTCGAATTCTAATTTTGATTTCAAGGACCCCGACAAATCCCCAAAAACTAGATGCACTGCCCGGACCCCCAAGATGTTGACGAAGCCCCATCGTCCATGTTTGCAATCATTTCCAGGTCCGCTCATTTGTCCGCACTTTCCGAACCTTGAACATCCCGCGCCGATCTCAGGTGCTTGCTCCGGGAGTCAAAAGCTGCCACACGCAAGAAGTCTATAACCCCAACGCCAACCCTAAACCCTAAACCCTAAATAGTAGTTTCCATTTGATTTTCCATTATCCCTATGTAACCCCAATAGACCCCCATAATGCCCGGCTCCCCTCATGTGTGGACGGGCATCGCCATGGCGAGGCTGGACGCCCTGGTCTGCAACGCCGCTGTTTACTTCCCAAACGCTCACAAAGAGGCCGGGCACGCCATAGCAGATGGGAAGATGATGCCGGCACCTCCTGCACCGCCTTGCTTGTGTGATGTCAGGGAGCCTTCTTTCCGGGACTCTTCCCAGGCACCTTTGTTTTACATTTTGGCGCGACATGCTGTCTAGATGATAGTGCGCTGACGCTCTTACAGGGGGTGGCCCCAGATGGTCAGCAGATGGCCACGAGTTGAGCTTTGCAGCAAACTACCTGGGCAGAGCGCTCATTGGGATCGTTAAGAGCATCTCCACAACATGTGGGCAGTTCGAGTTGGCGCTGGCTCCGGAAAGGTCACTTCCTTCTTTGCAACCTCCTGCTGGAAGGCCACACTCCAAAGTCGTGTGATGCAATCAGGCTGTTTCTTGGTGCGAGTCCTGCTACTGAGTCTGCTTTTGCTGCTGCCGCTGCTACTACTTAAAAACATAACTGCTCACAATACCAGTGCTACAGCAGCATCTGCCACGGGCATCCCACCTTGCAGACCTTCAGAAGAGCAGTATGAAGCCGGCGCGTTGCATTATCTTGGGCACTGTGACTGCGAGCATCAACGACAAAGAGGCCAGCATGCCGGGGGTTGAGGCAGAAACAAGAATTTATATATGTAATATACATATATATATAAGTATATACACATGTGCACATGCGCACTGTTCACACGTTGTATGTGTGTATATATACATATATATATATATGTACACCCCCCCCCCTTTCTCTCTCTGCCTGTCTCTCTCTCTCTCTCTATCTCTCTCTGTCTGCATTTCTGTATTGGTGTGTATATACTTATATGCATCTTCATATGCATACATGTATATGTTATATGTGCATATATATATATAT